ACTATTCGAATTATCTGTAAACATAGCATAATTTCGCTTATTGTTTATTATACTTTGCTTAGTTCAAGCCTCTCTTTACAAACTATTTAAATTAAACCCCCCTCCCTCTCTCTCCATTTTTAAATTGAAAATAATACAGAGATGAATGTGCTCCGGAAAAAATCCGGGTTTCCAGATGTTTCGTTATCCGCGATCAGGAAATCCAGTCCAGAAGTTTACACATTTATGTATAAAAATTTTTGTATATTTTATTTAAAAATATTAGAACTAGAATTTATTCTTGGCATCTCTTTCATTTGTAAATATTTTTTCGGGTAAAATAATAAATGTGATTAGAGATAAAAGTAAACTAAATACATAATTATTAATTTAAGTTACGCTGCATATAATTTATGTAGACTTTCACGTTGTGAAAATATCAATGATTTAAATTTATAAAGATATTAATTTTTTGAAATGCGGCATTAATGATTTTACTCAGGAAATTTTCAGGATTTTTTAATTGGGCTTACAATCACCCCTTATAATAAGAATAAGGGTGGAAAATAAGACACTACTCGTAAGCGGAATAAAACAATTTTTTTTATTTGTCATGCTGCTCGAGAATATTTCAAATAAGAAGATAAAAAATTCTGTAGAAAATTAGCTATTAGTTGTGGTGCAGCTACATTTTTTTACAACTCTGAAATCAAGAAGTTGATCCTCTTTTATATTCTTAGCAATTGCAATCGAAAATCTTCTGTTATAAATAATGTTGCTTGCTAATTGAAGGCATCACATATGATTGTGATTTTTGGAACTTACAATAACACTGTATGGCTAAATTAAAACAAGAGAAAAACAAGCTAAATTTCTCGATACATAGATATTAAATAATATTTTTGAACATATTAAATTGGATTTTTACTTACTATATAGTAGATTTAATAAGATAGCTTATCCATATATTTTCAATGTTTATTAACACATCATTGTTCATTTTAATTGAAAGTTTATAACAGCAAAGATATATTTCATTAATAAAAACTAGTAGGACAAAATATTACTCGTACTAAGATGCAGTTTCCGTGTTTTGAGAGGCACATTTAAGATATGCAATTTAATCACTGCAGGTGCAAATAACAATTTAATGCACGATTTAAAACGCAAAATCATACTCTTTTTTCTTAATAAACATATTTTTGACTTTATAGCTTGAGACGAATAACAAAACATTTCTAACAGTGTTATTGATAAAGATGTTGAGCCATAAGTACTAAATAAAAAGACTCATTCTTGTATTGATATCTTTGTTAATGAATATATTCGGACTTCCCTTTTTGAATTAAAATTTGCCTGGTTTTTGGGAAAGTACTGCACAATTTTCTCAGATTTTTTTGTCCACTCTTTTTGGAAAGCTTATTGCGAGTAAAATAATAAATTATATTGATTTTGAAATGGGTTGCTTTAAAAATACAAGCTACAGTGGATACGCAATGATAAGAATCGTCAGACATAATTTCCATCCTAGAACCTTTGATACATCAGATACTGTTCAAGCAATTTTCAGTTTGCTTCTATGTAATAAAATAATAATAAATTCGAACTCATTGAACTTCATAACTTTGAATTTGGAAAAATCATTTTAACACATTATTTTACCCAATATAAGATTTCTAAAAATGCAGAAAAGGAAAAGTTACGTTAAAAATACACCAGGGAATAGAAATCTTAAATACATATTTAATATCATAATAAACAAATATTTCTCTAAGAAATGGGCAAATAAAAAATGTTTTATAAAAATAAATAAACTTACCTTCCTCTCTCCTTTGTCATTGTCTAAAAATGAGAAAAAACTGCTCCACCCCCCTCTCTATTATAAAATAGCGGCTGACAATGAAGATTTTATTAATTTATTTATTTTAATGAAAAAAACATCTTAAAATTTCCTTTCAAAAAATGTAAGGTCAAGAGGAATTTAAAAAAAGTTACACAAGTGAATGAAATGTTTCTTATGAAACTCGTCTCTTAAAGAAAAGATTAATATGTCATTAAATATTATTGTATGAAGTTTTTGATTATTGGAATATGTCTAATAAAAGTGGGATACTAATTTATTTTATTTTGTTAAAAAATCTTAATGTTACGAGATGTTTCAAATATGACTTTTAACATTATTGAAAAAAAAAACTCATTCGTTTTTACGGGACGTGGTGTAAAGCATGATACTCGTCGCCTCTAACACATGATCTTATGAAAATGAAAAAAATAATTAGAGATAGTAATAATTTCTGTTATATATGTCAGGAACAATGATAATTACCATATTAGCGACTTGGTTACATTTAAAACGAGACATAGGACTCAATGCGTTTTTTTATTTTTATTAATTTATTTATTTTTAATATTACGGCAGTTTCAGAATTGTATCAGATTTGAAAAATATTTATTAAAAGATTCGAGAATTTCTTTGCAAATTTTCATAAGATCATGTGTTAGAATTTTCATAAGATCATGTGTTTTGTGCTTTTATAAGATCATGAAACACAAATATTAAAACACAAAATTCTCTTTGCAATTAGTAATAATTTTAATTAAATCTTTCAATTTTAGTTTTAATCTAAAACTCTAAGCTGGAATTTAATTTTAAAATTTTATGACCGTGAAGAGCATCGACCTGATGTAGTATTCTGATGCATTGACATGTTTGGAGTTCTCTCAGAAATGTTTTTTATTTTCAATTTCTTAGTAAAAAAAAATAATAAATAAATAATTAAATAGATAAATGAAATATTTTTTTTACTAATTTGATTTAAATTTTAACAAAATCTTTTTACCGCGTTTAAAGTTATAGTTTTTTTTAAAATTAAACTCCAAATTTATAATTGAAATACGTGCAATGGAAACTAGTATTAGACTTGCGAAAAACTTTTTCTCGAGTTTTAAGTGTTGTTAATTATGATGAAAGTTGACATTGTTGACAATGTAATTTTCTCTATAAATCAACTACAGATATTTTTACTACAGATATTACAACTACAGATATATGATGGATAAAACAAATCAATTAGGTTAAAAATAGCATAAATGCTAAAGAACAAATAAAAGCAAAAGTTCTCTTAGAGCCCTGAAATATAAATTATATATTNGAAAATTTAATCTATTCTTTTCGTCCTAATTACGCATCTGAAATGCTGAATTTAGCGATAAAAGCAATAAGTAATGTATTGCAATAAAAATACATTATAAAATTTCGTTACATTTGAAATTGCAAACTTTTAAGGTAATTGCCATAAGATCTTCATCCTAATTAAAAAATAATAAAAATAAGGTTAAAGTAAAACATTTAAATGTCTAAGCTTTCTTAGAAACGTTTTCCTCAGATCCATCTTAAATGCATTTTGTATTGAAAAATGCATAGTTCATTTAAACAGTACCGTCTTTACGCATGGGCACACCAGGGCAGTGCCCAAGGGCCCCAGGCACTCAGGGGGCCCTTGGGAATCTTACTTTTTATAAAATGTATTTAAAAACACTAAGAATAAACAAATCTGCCTTATATATTTTTCAAAAATAAATATATTCTATAGTATAAAGTGTGCATTTTGTTTTCCTTTCTGCAAATAGTGATCGATTATCATGCAAACAGCAATAATTTGAACAGTTTATCACCAGGGAAACTTAAAAAGTCAACCGAAATCTATTTTTCTACTTTCGAATTAAGTTTTTGTGTGGATTCAGTTTTTTGGGGTAATCAAAATAAATTTGTTCAAATCATTGCATATGTTAAAAATGGCTTATTTTATGTATGTGAAGTTTTTTAGTTCGATTTTAAGCAGTATGACTTGTTATAAGGGCCCCAAAACATTTCTTTGTTCGGGGGCCCTGCATGCTATTAAGATGGCTCTGCATTTAAATCTTCATCCTATTGAAAAATGAATAAAATGTTTAAATCAAATATGAATTATATTTCAGAAACAAAGAAAAGAAACTGTGGTGCATTATAAGTTTTTTTAAAACTATTCATCAAATGTAATCTCATTAATTTTGAGTCAAACAGAATTTTTTAAAAAAAAAAGAATAAAAGGATTAATAACTTTAGATTAGACATTTGCAAAACGTGTGTTTTATCTTTAGGAACTGACACCGGGAGTACATTATTCAAGAACTAATATTTTGTACACGTGATTTAAGAACAAGAAATCGGAACCGGTTATTTAATAACTGATATATCTTAACCGATAAGTTCTAAGGAGTAGTCAGGGAATTTGAGCAATGAGATGGAAGAGGCATAAACGTCACGATCCGACGAAAACTGGTTCCCTCCGCCAGAAACGTTATCTTCCTTCCTCGGCGACTCTTCGCCAACTTGCCGTGGTTATGATAATATCCCCATTTGGAAAAAATAAAATCATTTGGGAGAGATTAATTGCTTAATATTATATGAAGTTGAAATGCTGTCTTTAATTAACATTTTTTTAAATACATGGCCTGGCTACTTCATGACATCTGGTGCATATACAACTGATATATTTTTATTTATAATTATTTAAATAATAAAATTTTTAAATTCATGATTTTTTTAAAAGTTTTGGAATATTTGTTCATATTATGACATTTGCCTTTAAAATAGTTATATTTATTCATCATATCCCTGACGATAATTCTCTCTATCGTCAGCAGATGGCAGCACAATAATAGCTTATTTTGAACAATAGGAATGTATTGATTTATGCTTATCTGAGCTGAGAAGTTTATTTTATACAATCTCATTTTAAGTTTTTAGAAAAAAGGAAAAATTTTCTCAACGGTTTAAGTTATTGATAATATGTTAAATATTAAAAATTTAAATAAAGATGAGAATGAAGTAGCATAATCCTCTTGATCCTTGTTTAAAATAAAAGTATTTTTAATTGAATTTCAGTAGTAATTCTTTGTTTGTGTGCAGCTTTATGACGTCCATTATAATAAAATATCTAAATTCATAATTATAATACTTAGATCCTTTTGCTCATCTATACAACTCAGTTAGGAAAACGAAACTTAACATCTTTTTTATTTGTCCAGTAAAAGAGTTATTCAAATTTAATCACTCAATGCAACCCATTTTTAATTCTTCCATAAATTGTTTTTTTTTAAAAATAGCAGTGAAAATTGAAATCAAACACAGTTAATAAAAATGTAAATCTAACACCGGAGTGCAAGTTAAGAAAACCCCAGTTAGGAAACAGACTGTCCAAAAATAATGAAAAATGCACTTTTCGACTCGTGGTCAATATTTCCAAACCGGGGTTTCGCGGTAGGTTAGTGTCAACGGTGAATACGGGGGTTAAAAATTGACTACAAGAATCAGGTTTCTCACTAGTATGCTGTGTTTCAACAGATTACTGTTGTGAGTAAAATTCTTAATACATATACAACAAGAATAAGGCTTCTCTCCAGTATGAGCAAAAAGTGCTCAGTCATATAACCTCTACGTGAAAAACTCTTATTACATATGCTGCATAGATAAGGTTTTTCACTAGTATAAACATAACTATGTTTAGTCAGATGACTTATGCATGAAAAACTCTTTACATGTGGCAAGAGAATAAGGATTCTCAACAATGTGAACAAGACTGTCCTTAGACAGATAACTTATTTGCGAAAAAACTGTTATTGAATATACTTTAAGAATAAGGTTTCTCACCAGTGTGAACATGACTGTGTTGAGTTAGATAACGTTTTTGAGAAAAACTCTTGTTGCATATACTACAAGAATAAGGTTTCTCACCAGTGTGAACATGACTGTGTGCAGTTAGTTGACTTTTTTGCGAAAAACTTTTGTTGCATATACAACAAGAATGAGGTTTCTCACCAGTGTGAACACGACTATGTTGAGTCAGATCACTTTTTTGTGAAAAACTCCTATTGCATATACTACAAGAATGAGGTTTCTCACCAGTGTGAACACGACTGTGTTTATTCAGATGACTTTTTTGCGAAAAACTGTCGTTGCATATACTACAAGAATAAGGTTTCTCACCAGTGTGAACAAGACGGTGTACAGATAGAGACATTTTTTGCGCAAAACTTTTGTTGCATATACTACAAGAATAAGGTTTCTCGCCAGTGTGAACACGACTGTGTTTAGTCACAGCAATTTTTCTTGAAAAACTCTTGTTGCATATACTACAAGAATAAGGTTTATCACCAGTGTGAACACGACTGTGTATAGTGAGATGACTTTTTAGCGAAAAACTCTTGTTGCATATACTACAAGAATAAGGTTTCTCACCAGTGTGAACACGGCTGTGTTTAGTCAGATGACTTCTTTGTGAAAAATTCTTATTGCATATACTACAAGAATAAGGTTTCTCACCAGTGTGAACACGTCTGTGATCAATTAGATAACTTCTGTGCGAAAAACTCTTGTTGCATATACTACAAGTATAAGGTTTCTCACCAGTGTGAACACGACTGTGTTCAATTAGATAACTTTGTTGCGAAAAACTCCTGTTGCATATACCACAAGAGAAAGGTTTCTCTCCAATGTGTACAAGACCATGTTCAGTTAGATGACTTTTTCGTGAAAAACTCACATTACATAAACAACAAGAATAAGGTTTCTCACCAGTGTGAACACGACTGTGTTCAATTAGATAACTTCTGTACGAAAAACTCTTGTTGCATATACCACAAGAAAAAGGTTTCTCTCCAATGTGAACAAAACCCTGTTCAGTTAGATGACTTTTTTGTGAAAAACTCATATTATAGAAACAACCAGAGTAAGGTTCCCAGCCCAGGTTGAGTATCGAGTATAGTTAAGTGCGGCGAGCTCTCTGCTTATCGCTTACAGCGATGCGTTTCTCAACAGTGTGGGGATATTATCATAACCACGGCAAGTTGGCGAAGAGTCGCAGAGGAAGGAAGATAACGTTTCTGACGGAGGGAACCAGTTTTCCTCTGATCATGACGTTTACGCCTCTTCCTTCTCATTGGCTCAAATTCCCTGACTACTCCTTAGAACTTATCGGTTAAGATATATCAATTATTAAGTAACCGGTTCCGATTTCTTGTTCTTAAATAACGTGTACAAAATATTAGTTCTTGAATAACGTACTCACGGTGTCAATTCGCGATCGCAATGCTCCAGTACGCCCTCTAGCGGGAGACTGAAAATATCGGGCATTAGTTCCCACATAGGTTGTTGCTTGGCTGACCGATTTTTTAATAAATAGAGACATTTGATTGGTCAATTGCCACATCGTTTTCATCTTTATCGCTTAATCGTTTAGTCAGGTTTACTAGTATGGCATTTTTAGCATTTTTGTTTGGCGCAATTTCACTAATGCGCATGCTTGGTTTGATAAATTATTCAAACCAATCGAAACACTTCGTAGACAATAAATATAGAAACTTGTATACCCTCCTTTGCTTGTGTATACTCAGACAAGGACATAAAGATAGAAAGATCAATCACTATACCTAAACGGATGTCAGGGTGAACTTGGAAATCACTGGTCTCAACTGAATTTTTTGATTGTTTATTTGATTTTTATAGATGTTATGAAAAATAATAACATTCTGTCTCTGTGCCAGAAAATTCTGAACAAATTTTTTAAAAATTTTTTAAAGATTTATAATTTTTAAATTTTTAAATTTAAAATGAAAAAAAATTATATATTCTTAAAAATTGATTTTTATATTGTTCTGAAATTCAAATACTTAAAATAAAAAAAATAAATAAATAAAAATAAAAAAACAATTTATGGGCTTATTAAAAAATATGAAAATAAATAAAAAAAATAAAATAATTAAAATAAAATAAAGAACAGTTTTATAAGCAATCTAAGCTGCCCAAAACATTTAATTTCATGAAGAACAAGAAATTGGAAAATGTTAATAATTGCTGAGAGAGCCTCATAATTGTCTGCTAGAGCTCAATTAGTTTGTTATTAAATCTTTTTCGTGGTTTTCATTTGCGCGTAATGTAAATTCTAATTATTTTCGTCAAAAAGTCTTTCAAAATATAATTTCATTCCTGTATTTAAATTACAAGTAACTTTGATATCTGGGTGGCCTACAAAAATTCAAAAAAGTACAAAAAAAATTTAGAGCATTTCACAGCATTTNTTTCACAACACTCACTTAGATAGGCTATATATCAAAGATGATAAAAAAAAAGTGATTGATTATTAAAAATAATTTCATTGTTATAATGAGCATTTCGATGGAATCCTATTAAAATCAAGAAATCTGACAAACGTTTTCGTGGTTTTCCGTAGCTTGTATCGCAGAATTACTACTACATTAGCTTTTATAAGTATGCTTTTATTCTGATACTTGAATATTAAGTTGCTTTGATTCCTGGGTTGTGTAAAAAAAATATTAATGTAAGAAGAGTGTTTCACAATATTCAGTAAGATGACAGATTGTTTTTCAAGGACGATGAAAAAAATTTTGGATTATAAAAAATAATTTCATTGCGATAATCAACATTCAGCTGGAAACCTATAACCATTCAACAATTTAAAAGACTTTTTCGTGGTTTTCCTTCGCATGTAACGCAAATTTGATTATTTTAATTTAATCTTCATTAAAATAAACTATTCTTATAACTTTCATGAACATGCTTGCATTCCGATACTTAAATTGTTAATAACTTTGATTTCTGAATTGAATTAAAGATAATAATGGCGTTTCGTTACATTCACAAAGATGATAAGCTTCACAAGGATGGAAAAAAAAAATGATTGGTTATTAAAAAATAATTTCTTTTAGATAATAAACATTTAGTTCGAATCCTATTCCCGATAAAAGCGATAAAAAAAAATCTTTTCGTGGTTTTCCTTAGCGTGTAAAGCAAAATTTGATAATTTTAATTAAAATTGGTTATTTTTATAGCAATTATACTTCGATGCTTAAAATCCGACTTACTTTGATTTCCGGGTTGAGTTAATAAGAGGAGCTTTTCGTTCTGTTCAGAAAGATTCAACCCTATCTATTAAGGATAATAATAATAAAAAAATGGCTGTTTAAAGAAAATATTTTCATTGAGATGATGATGAACATTTAGCTTGAATGCTATTATCACCAAGCAATTAAAAAAAGAGAAAAAAACATTTTCGTGGTTTTCCTTTGCGTATAACGCAAAATGTGATTATTTTGATTTAATCTTAATTAAAACGAACTAATCTTTTAACTTTTATAAATATAATTTTACTCTGATGCTTGAATTGCATGTTATTTTATTTTATATACCAAATAAAAGCAATCTGAAAAACATTTTCGTTTGTTTTTCTTAGCGTGTAACGCAAAGTTTGATAATTTTAATTTCAATTTAATCTTGATTACAATTAATTATTTTTATAACTTTCATAAATATGGTTTTATTCCGATACGTAAATTGCGAGTTACTTTGATTTTCGGGTTGAGTTAGAAACTACAAAAATATGAAGAACATCTCGTTATATGAGGGTTACTCTGAAATTTTTGAGATACGCGCAGACAAGAATTTACAAAATAAAAATAACGGTTTAATTTTAAAATACAAAGTGTATTTTAACACGGCAGACGATTTTTTACTGACTTACTTCAACTTGTTTAGCGTAGAATAAATTTTAAACAGAAGAGAAAATGGAGTTGACGCGAGAACATTTTCGCTCTATGATTTTCTACGATTTTAAAGCAGGATT